AAATAAATAAATAAATAAATAAATAAATAAATAAATAAATAAATAAAATATGTGCAGTAAAGGAGGTCTTTTTGTGTCCTTTTTGGTAAGAAAATTCCCATTTAGGCATGGATGTCTGGCAAAATCTGTGAAGATAAAACAATGACAAAATGTGTATCCCAGTGCAAAGCATTTCCAAAAAGCATTTGCATTGTGATGTCACAACATGCTTTTGTCAGTTACTCCCCTCCCTGTCCTGGCTCTCCTTCATTTATGGGAACTAGGAAGTGGGCTATTTCAGGAATAACTTCTCTACTTAAATCTGATTAGCACAGATGCTGATGTGATTTCAGCATCAAATTATAAAATCAGTTTACTTATATGAAAATTTCAATATATTGTGCTAGTTTAGTTAGATCTAATTTTTTAGTTAGATCTTGTTTTTGTTGAGATGTTTTATGATTTTATTCTGCTATCTTGTATTATGTGGTTATATTTTATAATATTCCTTTTAATATTTTATTTTTACTAATTAATTCTATTAAAGGGTGTTTTACAGAATAAAAGCAGGGGGTGGGATTCTACTGGTTCAGTGGAAAAAGCACACACTCACTGAACCGGTTGTTACATCGGTTGAATCCCACCGCTGAATAAAAGCACTGCAGGTTTAGAAAAAAGAAAAGTGATAAGCAATTTAGAAAAAAAGATAAGAAAAGAAAAGGAGGGAGGAAGGAAGGGATGTCTGTCTTCCATTCTTCGTTACAACACTTACAAATGCATTTATATTTTATCCTCTCTCTAAAGCTACATCATGGCTCCCTTTTTCCATATTTTAACCTTTGTAATCACCAATCCCATAAATCATAAGTTCATTTTTTTTCATTTTCAGCAAAAAGTTTAGAAAGGTTTTCTAGTCACTCACAAAAAATATTGTCTTTTATCTAAATAAATAATTTTGCCACCCCTGCAGAATATTTTATAATATTTCAATAAGAATATCTATTTATGTATTATATTGTAACATGTCTCGTGTATATTGCCCTGAGTCTTTAGGGTAATGGGCAGGTCATACATTATTTCAGGGAATATATTAAATAATAAATCAATCCTCATTATCTCTCACCAAGTTCAAAGAAACACAAAAAGAGGAAGAGTCACTTTTTCTCCTGTCCTCCCTTTTGTCACCATTTATGATTTGAGATTGAACATATGTGGTTGAGAAACTTCTACCGCTATGTGATGTTGGATCCAAAACAGAACAGTGTGGTATAAGGTATAGGAAAATGTCTAGATATAAATCTGCTGCAGAAATTTATTTTCCACATAGATGATTTATACAGCAACTAATATGTCACATTTTAGTTTCAACTGGGTGTCACAACTCTGGGTTTCAAATATCCCAATAATCATGAGATCACAACAAAATAGCAATAGCACTTAGACTTATATACCACTTCACAGTGCTTTACAGCAGTCTCTGAGCAGTTTACAGAGTCAGCGTATTGTCCCCAACAATCTGGGTCATCTTTTTACCAACCTTGGAAGGATGGAAGGCTGAGTCAACGTTGAGCCGGTGAGATTTGGTGAGATTCAAATGCTAAACTGCTGGCAGCCAACAGTCAGCAGAAGTAATCTGCAGTACTGCATTCTAACCACTGTGCCACCATGGCTCTTAGAAAAAGATTTCTATCTCTTTACTGTTATCTGATGGTTAAGCAGAGTTTTACATTCCAAATAATTCCCAAACAGAATACCTGAACAGAGCAGGTGATTTGCCTAAACCTACCCAGTGAACTTCACCCCTGATCTTTTCTTTTTAAAGTACATTCTATCTATCCTCTCAACCTGTTTTTTAATCTAAAGCTCTAAATCTACACTATTTTTTTCATTCTTCTCTATTACATTGCAAATCAATATACTTTTTTTTTTCAAAATTCACATGAGTGCCCTATTCCACATTTTCAGTGAAGGACAGCTTTCAGATATAGACACTATTCAATTTACCAGAAATATATCAATTTTACAAGATCTAAAACATGAAGCATTGCTACAATCCCAAACCTCTAAGGTCTTAAAATGAATTCCTGAATACTTGGTTAATTACATCCAAAGGCATTAGAGCTAATATAAAACTTGGAGAGGAGGGAATAGAAAAGGTATTGCATTTTATTGTATCAAACCTAATGTTTATGTTGTTGTAATGGTAAGTATCATGCTATCATACACATTGAGATTTAAGTTGAGTGTCAAATATTATACCTGCTACCCCAGTCTAGTATGACTAGCCTTTTTTACCACTTCAAAATAACCACAGGACTGCTTATTTTCTGTAATTCAAAAACCAGAAGTGAAATAAAAACAAGTCTGAAATTGGACAGCTGCAGATCATGTACATTTGAAATAGCATCATTATGGGTAGGGGAACTAAAGTGCTATATTGAATGTTCACAGTTAGTGCCAAAGTTGAATTAGAAAATGTAGCCTATACAGAATAATTTTGTTAAAAGATGAAAACAATTTACCAAGTATTGGCATAGGCTGTTCAGCAGCTGTTTCTTAAAAACACATATTATATTGAATGTTTCTCATAGCACATATTTCTGCCCAATTTTTAAATTTCCTAATTCACTATTGCCAAAAGTTTCTAAAAGTGCTCTAGGCTTGAAAGTATGTTTGGGTTATCTATAGAGAAAAATCATTTCATTGTTATAAAATTAGATGCCTTTGGAGCGTTCGTGAAATGTATGTTGTGAAATCTTCATTAAATTGGACCTCTGTGGGGCTCATCATTTCTTCAGATTGTGTACCGACAAAGATTAATCTTGTCTTAAGATTTTTGCTGGTGAAATCCCACAAAGTAAACTTTAAAAGGGGTAGATCTGCCCAACTGGAATTTGGCTCCAGAGTTCAATTCAATAGGCCAGTTGTCGAACTGATGAGGTGGTACCTGATCAACTCCTTGCTCACTGAAGACATCTGTAAAATTGGGTATATTTAGTTTACAAAAGAAAGTAAAGGTTTCAACGCTATTGACAAATATCTAAAAATGCAACCAGATCAAATATATTCTCTGTTAAAACTGAGGGCAAGACACAGGCCATTACATATATTAATGAATTGAAATTTAAAATAATCCCAACTGAATATTTGGAGAAATTCTCCTCTGCTAAGCAATGAATCTGCTGAGGAATGAAATATTTTGCCTAGAATAGTGGTGGATCTCCCATCACAGTATGGTTCCAAATTGTCATAGCATGTGAGAATGAGCTTGGGAGACAACAGGAAGAACCACAGACTGCACAACTGGCATGCAAAAGGTGTCTCAGCCAACAGAAGGAAGATTATGTAGAAAACATTTTAGAAAAGATATTCCCTAGTATTCCAGAGTGTAAAAGGAAAGGAGGAGAGAAATTACAATATTTCAGTCTTGTAAAAAAATATATATAGTCTAACAATAAAGATAGAGCTAGCATTCTTGGTTGTGCTTCTTGTCTAGTCAACCTCACAAAGCTAACATAAACTTGGACAGCTACTTCTGAAAATTGATTTAGAAAATTTTTGGTACAGGGTAAGGTGCTGGATTAAATAGCCTATAATGTCAATCAAAGTCATATGTTCTTGATTCTATCCCTTCCTTTCTATTTATCTTTGCCTTTGCTTTTGCTGTTTGAATCTGGGACTTGCTTAATAGTTCATATTTGGATTCTATTCTTCTCAACCTCAAAAAGTCTATCTTTTGTATCTTGTATCAGTTCAAGAACTTTGACTTCTTCATAACCTCTGCTCTCCTGCTTAGCATGGCCGATTGGGATAAGACAGTTCCATGCAGCACATTACAAATTATTGCAGTTTAGAGACATAACAGTATAGATTTCATCTGAAACCATAACTCCGATCCAAATTATCCTAGTTTAACCTCAGGATTTTTTTTTCTAGATAGTCCCAATGAATATACTATCAAATAGAGGATTTAAAATTTGGATTTTGAAAATATTAACAATCCATCCTAAAGCATCCTGGAGGAAAAGGAAAGACAACATCTGCATAGTTGCTGAGAAAACAATGCTTGTAATTCGTACAATTTTCACTTTTCTAGTATCGTACAATATGTTTTTGCTCATTGAGCCTCATAGTTTTCTCTGCAGTCCTGGCACATATCACACCTTGGGGGAAGGTACTCTAACTGCATTATTATTTTTCTAATAATATCCCTGTTACAATATATATAAAGAGGTCCTGTCATGTTTTCTGGCAGTCTTTTTTTTTACTGGTAATTTGCATGACAGCAGTAATAATGTTCATGGTGTTCTTTTTACAAGGTTTGTCTCGGTGTCTGGCTCTAAGTTCATGCTCTTTCACCAGGATTAAAAATAATGTCAGCTGTCTAATACCCTGTAAATCCTTCAGGTATCAGTTACTTCTGATTTTGTATAAAAAGGACATTGGAGTCTTTCTGCTTTCAGAAATTAATTCCAGCAACTAATTCCAGCAAGTCTAGGACAGGTAATTTTTCATCAGATTCTTAATTTACATTGTATGGCAAATGACAAACTTTATAAAAGTGTATGCTTTTTAAAAATACTAATAGTAGTAATATTTGCTGCCTCTTTTATTAATTGTATTCTTTTTTAAAAAAAATAATCTTAGGAATAAAAAGGTTATTCATCTATTACTATTTTTTATTTGTTAAATGGTCTTCTCTTTCCTACATATAAACACAATACTGAATGGATGTCTTGTTGTCTAATTATAATTCTAATGAAATTTTCCTGTTCAAACATGGTAATTGATTATTTCTAGAGAACTCTGGAAATGTGCACCCCTCTATTTAAGCATTCCTAAATTCTTGGATTTGAATTACAGGATGAAGGCAACCACTCTCTGTGCTTTGTTATTTTTTTGCTGGAAAATGATTTATTGTCATTCCTGTGAGCTATCAAATATTACAATAGCCGTGGAGAAGGAAGAATGTGGCTTTTGCATCCTGGTGAATGCAACCTGGTGCTCTGGTTACTGCTTCACAAGGGTAAGAATCCAGGAAGGAGGCTAAAAAGAAGTAAAGTATTTCCCAAACACTGTGGATATAAGCCATACTTCACCATTCTGACATTTTTTTTGTCAAGTTCAGAAAGTGGTGATATGATTTTATGATGCATGCAAAATTAGTCCAGTGGAAAATCCTTTTAAATAGATATCTACACAGAGCAATTCTATTCATTTTATTCAGAAAGAATGCAGTTTCAAGCATGGACAAAATTGCTACTTCATACATCAAATCTTAACTCAAGTTCCTGGAAATAATTTTCATGAAAACCCGTAAAGTTTAATGTCAAAATAAAAATTCTAAACAGCCAAGAGCCTAGAGAGATATACCTTGTTTGTATAGTTCTGAATGATGTGGCATTTATGACTGATCTCCTAGTGTAAGAATGCTTCTGGAGCTGCTAATTCCTTGTTGGATATATTTATGAAACAGAAAATAAAAAATAATATTTGCATATTTATCAGATACAAATATAAGTATATTTCATATATGAGGCAAGTGATGGAGATCAGTAGTTTCCTGAATTCTATTGACTTACTGGCATGAAATAGTTGAACTCCAAGGAAATGTAGACTCTAGCTGGAATAAATGGGTAAACAAATTATTGCTTTTTGGGGAAATACTTTTAATTCTCTTGTTTTTGTTATTATTTTAACTGTTACTCAATTTCAAGAGTTGCATGTTTTTCTACAGTGCAATTTCCATATGGCTTTGCCTTCTAGATACAGAACTGGAGCAAACGGCATTACAGACCCTAAAATGTGACTTGGATCTGATTTAACAAACTGTGAAAGTTCCATAATACAATAAACTTGCTTAATATTGGGTTTAGATCTGTTCCTAGCAATAACAACATGTCGGGGTTTGCTACTTCAGAAAGGCCAATAACTTTTCTTTTGTTTTCTCCCATAATTAGGATCGAGCTAATATGATCCTTCCACAGAAACATGTCCAGAATATCTGCACATTCAAGTCAATTGTATATGAGACTGTAAAAATCCCAGGTTGTGCTGACCATGCAGAATCCTTTTATTCCTACCCAGTTGCGACAGGATGTCACTGCAGCACCTGCGACACAGACATTACCGACTGCACCCGGAGAGGCTTGGAGCCAAATTATTGCTCCTATGGCCAGTCACGGATCACGGAGTGAGGCTTCATAACGTTGTTTGTAATGTTTGCTTTGTAAAAACACTGTCAACCACAAAAACCTGTGAAGAATATATGAGAAATGATAAAGCATTAAGCCAGCCCATCCACTTTATATCCAAATTGCATCCCTCTTCAATATCCTGGCCAGGGCACTTCAGTGTTGTCTCTAACACTGCAATGTTTAATGGCCTTGAAAGCTCACATCCTCCCAAGTTTAACCAGAACCATCTTTCCTGAATTTCTTTTGCTCCCACTTCTATGTTCAGCTGAATATTCCCCTTATTTCTCTGCTGAGTGTCAGTATTGACAGGCTTTCTGTACCTTACATGTTCATCGTCTGCTAATTGTTATTGTTTTGTGATGAGATAGCACACATCTTTGATTTCAGTAGGATTCAACTATATGTAATGATCTGTTTCTGTAAATAAATATTTCTTTGAAATAATAAACATTTTATTTTGTTGCACTTAATTTACGTGATTCTTTTCTTAAAAAAATGTGAAAGCTAGTAGCAAAACTTCTGATCATGCATTTCTAAAACAATTCTCTCATGCTGTAGAATCAAACAAACCTTTTTTTAAAAAAGTCAAGGCATGTTCATTCCCAATTTACTCCTTTCCTGCGTCTGCTTTTGTATGGTGAATGCCAACCTGTCATGACATAAATTGATACCTGATAGATCAGCCTCTACTGCTCGGGGCTCTGTACTCTTTTATGACTTTCTATAGAAATCACAAAGGATGTATTCTTATGGTTACAGATAGCAAATGCCTAGGACATTCTAGGATAAATTAATTATTTGGGTTTTTCTTCCCATGGTCAGAAAAAAAGCTCCAATCTTAAAAAATGAAATATGGTTTCATTACCTTGCCAACTTCTCTTCAAAATGCATCAGAAATGTGATAAGGCAGGTATTTTTAAATTTAATTTTATGTGTTAATGAAATTTAGAGTCTAAGAAACTATAAATGACTCTGGACAGGTTATGCTACACATAAAGCAAAAAGAATAAAAATAAGGAAACAGTACATGCATCCAGAAGACAAACTTTGTACAACAACATCAGATCCAACAAGGCTCAAGAACTCTTCTGCACCAAGGCCTGGGAGAAGAGCCACATTTACAATCACTTTCTGACTCTCATCAGGATTGAAGTTGTACAGATCATGGGGCAGAGGGGGAGGAGAGGATGCACACAGAGAAGACACATGGAGAAGGCACACTTCCTATGTCACGATAGACATCACCATGTAATTAAAGGGAACCAAAGTACATGCCTGATTTCACTGGACAAGCATGAACATTTGGAGAAAGTAATCACTTATGACCCAAAGTATGCAAGGAAGTCCTTTATAGATGGTAACTACAGTAGTACCTTGAATTGTGAGAGCCCTGATGGCCCAGTGGTTACAATGCCGCATTGCAGGCAAATTCTGCCCACAGTCTGGAGTTTGATCCTGAACAGCTCAAGGTTGACTCAGCTTTTGAGGTCAGTAAAATGAGGACCCAGATTGTTGGGGGCAATATGCTGACATTATAAACCAACCAGAGAGTACTGTAAAACATTGTGGGGCTATATATACATCTAAGTGCTAGTGCAATTGCTACCGCGATGTCAACCAATGCACTTATGAAGCAGTGAAGTCACATAGCCATATTATGGCATGCCCATCATTGCCTGCACAAATTCGTTGTGGACTAGCTGAAACTTCCACATTGTAGTAATCCATTCGTGAAATGAATAGGTTGTGAGTGATTCTCTTAGGGGTTTCCAAATCCCAGAATAGGCACAACAGATGACTCTGTAGAAAGACCCTCTTGGCTACAATTACCACTTGCTCATTCAGCAGCAACTGTGATTCAACACAATCAACAACCAGAAAGTGATTTCACCACATCCACTGATTGATGGTAATCTCCTCCAGTACCAAATCAATCACAACAATTGCAAGACAAAAGGCAAATTCAAAATGCTACCACGGGTAATGATCAGGCCTTCAGTGACTTTGGATAGATCCATAATTACCCTGGTGGCCATGAATTCTTAAGATGTTCCAAGTTCAATGTTACCTGGTAGTAGGTTGAAATTCTCAGGGACCCACAGGCTTAAGGTTTTCATAACTAATGGAATCCAGCAGTTTGTAATGGAATGATGCAATGCAGTAGGGGGAATAATAGAAAAGTGGCCATTCCAATAGTTCCCTAGAGCACATCTTCAATTAGAGTATCTCACATCCAATTATCTGCAATGCATAGTCACTGAAGGTTCTCATTGATTCCCAGATAACAATAACCAATATTCCACCCTCCCTTAGACTCTCAGTTGATCCCAAGCCTAAAACTTGGACACACAGATTTCTGATGGAGGAACTCAGCCTACATGTCTACCTGGTTATACATGCCATGTCAGATTTTCAAATGTGATTAAAAACCAGAATCAACGTTCTCTAGCCTTGTGCCATGATTCCAATACAGAGAAACAAAGCATCTTCTTTCCATTGTTTATAATGAAAAATAAATAAACACATAAAAAGTAGATTTTATTTGAATATTTGCCTCCCACAAAAATCAAAAGAAACAGAATAATTTCTAACACTAAATAAATAAGAGTATATAAATAGTGAACACTGCAAGAATAAATATACGTGAAAGAAGCTACAAAACTCTACACAAACTTGAATGTTGCAACTACATTGTACAGCCAAAAGGAGGACAAAACTAAAGACATTTTTGCAAAATATATGCACATATTTATATATAGAAATGCACATTTGAAAATAATTGGGTGATATTAAATTAAATTGAAATGCAAAGAAATGCAATACATAACATCACAGAGGGGATTATAGTTTATATGACCTGTATACATATTCTGTGTGCTGTCTTGGTGTACACTGGGTTACTAACACAGTAGCAGAACACTTAACAGATAACAGATAATCAGAGTTGGAAGGGACCTAGTCCAACCCCCTGCCCAAGCGGGAGACCCTACACCATTTCTGACAAATGGCAGTCCAATCTCTTCTTGAAAGTCTCAAGTGATGGCACTCCCACAACTTCCAAGGGCAAGGTGTTCCATCGGTTGATTGTTCTCACTGTCAGAAAGTTTCTCCTTATTTCCAGGTTAAATCTCTCCTTGTTCAGTTTCCATCCATTATTCCTTGTCTGGCCTACAGAAGCTTTAGAAAATAGCTTGACCCCTTCCTCTCTGTGGCAGCCCCTCAGATATTGGGAGACTATTATGTCTCCCCTGATCCCTCTCTTCACTAAACTAGTTAAGCCCAGTTCCTGTAACCATTCTTTGTATGTTTTAGTCTCCAGTCCCCTAATCATCCTGGTTGCTCTTCTCTGTACTTTTTCTAGAGTCTCAACATCTTTTTTTATAATGTGGTGAACAAAACTGGATGCTGTGCTCTAGATGTGGTGTTACTAAGGCTTTATAGAATGGTATTAGTACCTCCCTTGATCTTGATTGTATCCCTCTGTTAGTACAATTTAGGATTGCATTAGCTTTTTTGGCTGCTGCTGCACACTGATGGCTCATATTTAGTTGGTTGTCCACTAAGACTCCAAGATCCGTCTCACAGTTACTGCTATTGAGCCTGGTTTTACCCAGTCTATACGTGTACTTTTGGTTTTTCTTGCCTAAGTGTAAGACTTTACTTTTCACTTGATCTGAAATGTCCCAGATTTAATCTTTGTTGTTTGCATGTAAGGCTGGGAATGTTCTGCCTGATCATTATTAAGCTGACAGTGAACAAGAAATATGTGACTTCATTCAATGGTTTACTATGTATTGTACTTATGTTTTTAACTTCTGCTATGCAATGCCTTTGGTCTGCTTTCCCAATTCATGGGTATCTAAAATGGCCATGGATTGGACAACTTTTGGTCAAAGGACTGTCTTTGTACTTGAAAATGCAACAATTTATATTGTAATTCTTATAAATAAAATTAATATTAAGAAAAAGATGTTTGCTGTGTGTTCAGATACCCATCAATGTATTCCTGTTAATGTTACTTCTTCCTGTTTGCAACCCTGTTCCATTCTCCAGAAAAGCAAAGCTCAAAAGAGCAGGTTGCACAGATTCCACTAAAGAAAGGAGAGGCGCTTTCCATTGTTACTCCAGAACAGGGGTGTCAATGATGGCCCATGGGCCAGATGCATCACGTGCAGGCCATGCCCATCCCAGCTCTGTGAAGGTACATCAGCTCTGTGTCATGATATATCATGTGACAGCATTGTGACGCCATGAGTTTGACATCCATGCTCCAGAACATAGGGAGAGGCTGACAGCCTCACCCATTTTATTTCCTTCTCAAAAGAAATCAAAAATAATGGAGACAATGGAGAACCTAATCACTTATTCGACCCACCATGGCCATGCTGTTGTAAGACTTAATCACATTAACCATATTACAAGAGTGATTATCCTCCAGTCTTATATATGCCATCACCTGCCAGCAATGTACCTCTGCTTCCTTCCTCATTATTTAATTTTCGTCCCATGATATATTCCAGAGATGGTGGGTGTTCAAAGGGTTAACTATTACACATGTTTCTTTCTGAGAGCTTGGCTGTCATTTGATTATCTAGTTCAGTCTGTTGTCTGTGGGTGTTTCATCTTCTTTATCATTTCTTGTCCAGGCAATTTGGCCTTGATTTTACAGCTGGCTCAGCCAATGATGATTAATGCTCTCCGGACACCTGGATGAGAACCTCATGTATCAGTCATAACATGCCTAATTAAATTGTTGGTTTAATCCCAGCCTTCTTGAATACAGAGAATTCCACACCAGACAACCTTCATTTGATTCTCCTTCCCACTTTGCAAAAATGGATGGGATTAGTTTTTTTTTTTAAATGGTGAAAGGTGAGCTTCTGTCTGTGCACTTCTGAACTACCAGGGTATTCACAAGTTCTTATTACAAACAGTTGGGGAAAACCTGTTTTCTAATCATTACATTCCCATTGCCTCAGACATTGCAATGATGTACTTTG